TGTCTGGACATTACATACGTTCACACAGATTTCAAGGTGAAAGTATTTATTGAGCAGTAATTAGTACTGAAATGGTTAAAAATCTTTGCTGTAATAGAACCCGTAGGTTCATCTACGTAGTCACATGTTCAGAATACTGAGCAGTAATTTGCTGCTGGTCATTTTCAGCACAGCCGTTCTCAGGGTTGCTCCCCGTCGGGACCCATTTCCAGGATCTTTTTCGTTAAGGCTAATTTTACTCTTTTGGATATGAGGTGTTCACGGCGGTGACTATTAAAAGTACCGTCTTCTAGGTTCTAACGGCGTGTCGCTCGGAGAGAGGCCCGACATTTCAGTGCCAAGTGTCGCCTCCTTTATCATAATCGAAAAAAAGCTAAGCAATACACCAGCAGGAAGCAGGTGACAAAGCTTCTTACTGATTTCTTGCTTCATTTTTCTGCTCTGGATATGGAGGCATTACGGGCCTCCGAAACGTACGGCTGTCTCCACACTACACGGCGTTACAACCCATTTTACTATTGTTTCCGTCATCTACTGCTAGGTCTCAGAAATGCTACCGTCCCTTCGTACTTTCCGATGGGTCTCAAGATATTTGTTGGGATAGTAAAATACGTTATTGCCGTTTTCTTTACTTCATATCCAGTTCATGATTGAATGTCATTCTGGCATTCTAAGATATGATGAGCCTGTCCATTTGACATAGCGCTGTTATACACCTAACTTGGGTGTGCCCTCTGATTTGCAAGAAACGTCGCTACGGAGCTTGTCAAATTGACTGCCACATGAATTACAGAAGCCTCATGTTAACAAGAGCGAATTTGTATATCCCTTGCTTCATGCTACAATACCTGACTCAGTCCTGTTTCTTGTCATTTGTTATTCTTGGGTCACGTATCGTCTAATGTGTCTTGAATTTCCATCTCGACAATCCTATTCATGGTAAGTTAAAGCCCATCTGCCCTACGAAACACGATGCGTCATACCTCATGTAGGCGACCTTACGGAAAGAAAGTCCTTTATAAACGTATTTGAATTTCCCGCCTGCGTGGGAGCGCCGGAGGTACGTTAAAATGAACTTCGCAGCTTTCTAATGATGACGTAACGATCTCCGTCACTGAGCGATAGTGACGTACCCTTGTTCTAGTATTGGCTGGAATATACAAGATTGTGTTGCAAAACAAGGATTCACTTCTCTGAATGTTCTGCTCACACGTCTACCGTACGCTATTCCCATTGGCTCAGCTGGTCAAGAAATTGTTCGCATTTCTTATGGAATTTAAATGTTCATTACCTTGTTCACAAAAGCCTGCTGTCGTTGGATCCTTAGCTAGACAAGTACAGCCATATCGTGACACGTTATATCTATAAGATCCATTATAATACCATAGTCAATAAGTTCGTGGACTGGCCGCAAAGCGTCGTTGCAGTGCACTACAGCGGATAAGTTGAGGCACGACATGATGCCCTGTTAGTTCATCTCTCGTCACAGCAAGAGGCAGTCGTATGCAAACAGAGTAAGCAGAACTACGGCCTCTATTGTGAACTGCAGTTAAATGCGAGTGGCGGAAATCGAAAATGTGGCAATTTGAACAACGCCAGAAACTAGGCAAATCCCCTAGCGAAACATTTGGCGTAGGAAGAATTGGCTGTTGCTACACGACAACGCCCCTGCACATCTCTCTGTGACCAAGAGGAACTGGTAAGGCAACAGGTCACCATTTTGCCACACCCTCCGTACTCACCTGATCTCGCACCAGTCGTCCGAGGTGGTGGTCATTGCCACAAGAGACGCCGTACGGTAATTTCCTGCCAGTATGTTTCAGCAATGTTTTCGGAAGCTATATCAACGTTGGCAGACTTGCATAGTGACCAAAGGCAAATATCTTGAAGGTCGATGTGGATCTGCATAAGTGTATGTGAATACCTTGTAATATGATGCGATAAAACCACATTCCACGAGCTTAATGACTGTACCACGTATTACTGCGCCCAGCCGTCCCAGCGTTTCAAAAGTGGTCCCTTCTGTTTATGTTTTCCGACTAAAACTTTGTACGCTTTTTGTATCTCCCCCCTTAGTTCTTCTGTCGTCTCACACTCCCTGATTTAATCACTCTTGTGATCATCATTGTGCATTTCCTATAAGTTCCTACTGGACTTTCTTTCTTATGTCCAAAAATTCTCTTCAGTAGTGTGCTCAGAAACGCCCTGAATCTGTGTTTCTTTACCCCCTTGCTCTGAGAGACACAAGTACAGGTAACTACAGGCAAAACTACGTCTTACTATTTGCATGTCCTTTCAAAACACATTAGTGCGTATTAAGTTGTATGAGTTCTGGTTTTTGTTCAGTAAGAGGAGCATTGTACACTTGAACGTCTGTGTCATATTTTTCCTGGGAATTTTGTACATCCTAGCAGAAAGATTTTTCGTTTTTTTTTTCCATTTGTGCCTCGTGTAGAAAATATAGATACGCCTAGGCGAATATCCCCCCTATTTTCTGTTTGTTTATTTCCGTAGGCAGCGTATTGTGACTTTCTCATATAAGATTCATGCACATCGTGTCGTGGTGGCTTTTGCGTTCCTTCTGAGTTCTGTTTTACATGTTCCTGAGGTAAGACTGGGGACAATCTATCGCACTTTATTCATTCTTCGTTAGTTTCCTTTTACCTAGTCGTGGGGCAGGGCTTGCTGGTTTCGTCGGTGCATGAACTGTTTCTGAGAATTTCACTTTACTTTGTCGTCTGGAAAGGACTTGTACACCCCTGTACAGACTGCCGTTGCCTTTTCGCATTCTGTTTGCTCTTGGGCGGAGATTGGTACACCTTTGCACAAATTGTTGGTATATTCCTTCCCTGTAAGTTTTGTTTTTCTTACTCGTGGGAGGGAATTTGTTTAGCCCTACAAATTGTGCCGCGTGTTTTCATTCCTATTATATTGCTCGCGTGACGGGGTTTGTACACAGCCGCACAGCTTACACATAGCTTTTCATTCTTACGAGGTTATCGCAGCGTTTCTTGTGCACCCCTGAAGAACGTATCGCTGGGTTTGCTTTCGCGTCAGTTCCCTTATTGACACTAGCCCAGTTCGCTCTTGTCAATTCAGACCCATGCCATGCTGCTATCGATTACGTATAGCCTGCCAGCCATCTTCTGATCTAGAGTAGGAGGACGTCATTCCCTTTTTCAATTTTATAATCTCTGCATTAAAAAAAATCCAGAGGTGCGAGTATTTTCAGAACATGTCAGGGTTCTCATTTGGAAAGTGGATTCAAGGGGTGGGGGTAGTATGGCGGTAGTGAGTAGTTTTTACGTTGTGGAATTCACAGAATCGGCTATGGTAATTTTTATTGCTTTCAGTGCATATTGGTAGGATTTAAAAAATTGATGTGAAATGTTCTTTTTTATTATAAAATTGAGAACCGATGGAACGGAAATAATGCTAGGCGCGGGTACGTTTTTTTTTTCTGAAAGATTTTTTTACGGTTGAATGTCATCAGAGAAAGTGTGCGGTTTCGGAAACGAATACGAGCTCCAGTAAAGGCGAACTGCTGCTGCTCATGGCTGTAATACTTTCGGTTCACCCCAGAATTTTTAGATATTAAGGACTGAATGTGGTTGGGACCGTGTCCGTTGATGAGTTGAAAATAGGGACGTTGCTGATACTGGAGACTTTATTTCAGCGCTTCTGCAGAATTAACTATTAGATCTAGGAAATATGCAGGCATACCTTGGAGATATTGCAGGTTCGGTTCCAGATAACCGCATTAAAGCGGGTCGAATGATTTTTTTTGGTTTCCCAGTGCATATAAAAGTTATGTTAGGGGCACGCGGTACCTTAGTTGGTTGAGGGAGACAATTATTAATTCCTTAAGCATAAGGGTAGTTTCACCTTATTATTATTATTATTATTATTATTATTATTATTAAGCGAAGGAAGTGAAAATGGGAAGGAACGTACCACGCATGTGAGAGCTTAGAGATGTATGTGACATACTTGCCTCTGAGCGTATTGGAAAGAACTCGTGAGACAGCGGGGGAGGATAATATTAACATGTATCGCAGAGAAATGTCGTGGACTACATTTATCTGGTTCGAGATGGGCTCCAGTGCCTGGATCTTGCGACCACAATACATTTCGAGTTCTGTAAAAGACGGGGTATTGTTGAATAGCTGAGCGACTGTTAGCTTCTCAGGAAGACTGTACTTCATGCATTTTTGTTATTTGTTCAGTGAAATATATATCTGAAATCACGTTAAACACAAGGCATTTGAAAAACGTTTTAACGAACGATATCTTGTGAATTAAGATTTGTAACTCGTGCGTTAACATGAGCCTGCATAAAGTAAGGAACAGGTTAGGAAATCGCTGACGCTCTTCAAAGTATCCGCTTCCAATACCAACTATGAAACGTGGCTGTTCTGACCAAGTTTTTGTTGCTGCTGTAATTTATCCCATTCCCAGCCTCCAGAGCTCCACCAAATGTTTTACTGCTGGCTCCTTTATAACGCGTCTCTTCGCATCTCAGCAACATTGCTAAATGTTATCAGCGCCATTAGAAATCCATGACCATTTTTAGACGTTTGACGACGTGCAAAAGAATATCCTGTTTTATTTTAGGGTCTATCACTGTGGCCGCGCGGTCTAAGGCATGAACTGTCTTCGCTCGCTCGAACGTTGAGATCGTGTGTTCGAATCCCACTCAAGGCTTGGGTGTTTGTATGTGCGTTTATTCTGTATTTGTGTTGGCTTTGCGACTGGCTGATCCCCCACCCAAGGATTCCTACCATCTGTGTAAAAAAGATTACGAAACTGAAGAAGAGGCCAGGGCCGATCAAAGGGCTGTAGAACCATTAACTATGATGATTTTATTTTAAGGGTGTGATTGAGGAGGCTGGTAATTTGTACTACGCTATAACTGTGTCACAGAATGTGTGTAGCCATGTAGTTTCCCATGTTCTTTCTGAGAGAGTTACATTAATTGTGATGTATTGTTTTGCTTGCAGTATTACGAGATGTCATACGGCCTCAACGTGGAGATGCACAAACAGGTAAGCATACATGCTCAGTGTATCGGTAGCGTGCAGCCTTGCTAGGTTGTTGCTGTTCGTGTTCTGTCTGGTGTACTGCAGGAACTTCGTCACCTTATTAGCAAGTTTTCCCAATCTGATTTTGAATTGTCCCGTGTTGTTGCAAATGGGCGTGTAACTTGGGCTCTTAAAACCAGAGACTGGTCACGTGTGGCAGGAAAGCGCTGAGGGGAATAGTTGGAACTGAAGAACGTGCAGTTGTGGAATAATACAGAACAGTATGTAGCGAGGAGTTACACAGTATTTGGGGGGCAGGTTATACTTCAGGAATAGTGGGATTAGGCAGGATATTTAGCACAGGCGAGGGAAAGAAGAGGTGCTTACAGAATGTTGGTTGGAATACCTGAGCTCATTGGACAGACTTGCGAGTAGGCAGGAATATGATACTGTCACGTGACAGTAAATGTAAACGGATCTTTGGGTTGATGACTCGATTTATTGCACACTTTGATACAGAGCGTGACTGCACTTTACTCTGCACTATTACACACACACACACACACTAGTGTCCACAGTCACGCCTTCACTGCTGTAGTTTGGTAGCAGCTTCCAACGGCGGGCGTTCCTCTTACTCTTGGTTCCCGAACTGCTACCGGCCTCATTACCAGCTTCTCACACCAACAGCTCACAAAGATTGAACCTCATCTGGTCCTGGTTATAACTTCTCGGCACGGACCGCCTAGAAAACATCCGTTACATTGTTGTGATCTCTCGTTGCCCTGTAAACATGCTTGTTTGCGGAACAATGGCTGTTGTATAGTTCCTTGTTTCTCGGTCGTTGCCTAGCAATGGGTCTACATGCCATAATATTAAAACGTAGGCCAGTGACTCTAGTAATTGGAGAGTTTGGTTGTGGAAATGTGAAATGAAGTTGAATGAAGAACATTATCTTCTGAGATGTGACGCCCTGTAGGCTGGTACGAGAAGTTAATAGGAGGCAAGGAGGAACTTACTTGTTCAGCTGACTTTTATGCCTTGGAGACGGATATATTATGTTCCTCTGAAACGTCGGTAATTATCTACCAGACCACACATGACCTCGCTCTCCTTGTTGCTTGCTGGTCTTACTCTTCGACCCTTAAAGCTCGGGTAGTACATTCCTCCGAAACGTCGATAAATTAGACAAACCCATCCTCTCGTCAGAGAGGATGTCACATAAGGGCTATGACCGCTAGGGTTCAGTTGCTAAGAAATCTCTGGTGGACTTGGCGCCAAGAAGAAATGATCAGCGGTAAACCGCCAGTCTTAAAGTAACTCTTAACCCTGAGTTAACGAGTGATAGCAAGTGAGTGCGAGCGAGGCAGGTTGTTTTGCCTTCATGAGATAGTTGTTAGATGGTAGCCAGCCGGCAACGTCGTGAGCACGGAAGCGGTGAATATCCATTGTTGGGAGCCATTACCAAGCAACGCGTGACGAAGATAACTATAGCGTGTAGGCCCGCTACTGTGTAGCTATCTCGAAACAAACAATGAAACAACCGCTACTAGGGAACAGATTCTTAATAAGCGAGTATACGCAGCCATTACTGAGTAACACCTTCAGAGACAAACACGTTCCCAAGGAAACGATTGGAGTACAACAGTGAACGGTGTTTTCTACGCATTCCGTGTCGAGACGGGTTTGGAAGTTCGAGTTGTAAGGGAGTCTGTGAAGAGAAGACTTAGTCGGTGTAACTGAGAACGGAAGCTGTAGAATCTCCTTTGTTATAATCCGTTACCGGGAAACGAATAATGAGAGCATATTGAAAAGACTTGGCATGTGCTGTAGTGATTTGTAAAGCGTTGAAATTAGCGATAATGTTATAGTTACTTATAGTTACAACCTGTAAATGGTCAATAAATCCAAAATCCCTTCGGTAGTCACTCCATCACGTGACAATACAAGAGATGTATTGTTCGGAGTAGTGATTTGTTAGGTGTGTAGTTTAGTGATAATGTTATAGTTACTTGTTGCGAATTATAAGTGTTCAATAGATCCAGTTACCAGTCCAAAGCCCTCGTTTAGTCACTAACACGTGACAATACATAAGTTGCAGGAAAGATGTGAACTTTTGGGAGAGGTTCGAACAGCGTACAGTGGATTCTACGTAACGCAGACGCGTTCATGGTAGTACGCGAACGTTTTACCACGAACGGAACTGCGTTCTCCAGTTACCAATTCGGGACTTGTTTTAATTGAACCTTCACTTACCGTTCCACCATTTTGTCAAAGAGGTGCAAGAAAAGAATTACATTGTGGCCTAATCGGTCGGGATTTGGTTGAGAATGCATGCCACATGTCTGATAAAGAATCTGCCCTGCCTAATATCTTAACTAACAGCGAAAGCTTTATTGACAGTAACCGGAGTTACTTGGCTGCTAATAAGTTGAGATTGCTAGAATGTTGCAGCATGTATTTCCAAGCCGCCTTATATTAAACGACATTGGCGCTAGTCTTGCCAACTTCCCGCCTCCCTCCACCTCAACCCCTTCCCGACACATTTAAAGCCGACCTCACGACAGCGCGTTCGATCACGTTCCTTGGGTTGCGTGTTCAAACCTCGCTAAAGGCTAAACTGCCTTTCATCGTCTTTTATCGTTGCATCTTACCGCTTCCATTAGCCTCGCAACAAGAGAACGAATATTAAAACCAAAATGAACAAGAATGATAATTTGTATCTTTAACTGCTGTTTTGTAGGGTCTGATAGTTTTGTATAGTTTTTGAACTCATTGCCGCAGTGAAATTGTCTTCTCTTTTTCCCCGGTCATTAAACCAGATGGATACGACGGTGTAAGGGAGCTGAGTCTGTTCAGCTGTAAAATATGTTCTTTCTATTCTCCGCTGTAAAACGTGTAGGACTGTCATCAGTCATCTTTCGGAATGTTATAGAATGATTTCGATTCTTTCGGGGACTTTCCACACTTGAAGTGCTCACACATCCACAAAAGTAAAGTTTTCTTTATGCCTTTGTAAAATGCCGTGGCATGTAGAGGGCGTGGAAGCATGATCCACCCGTTTTAGATCTTTACACTAATGGCGGTGATTGATCAGTTCTATTCTTGGACCCCCGGTAGTGATTCGGCAGGATGTTGGGCTACTGGATGAGCACCAGAGGCGATTTGGACGTGTTGGCGAAGAGGGAATTTCCTGTTCCTCTCTGGGATTAAACCCAGGTCGACTAGCCCGCAGCCATTCGCTTCACTGACCATGCAGTCCCCTCTGATTCGTATGTAAAATACGTTTAAAAGTGCTATAATTTTATTTACTTCCATTGTTTGGTTTTTCGCTCCGGTTCCACCAGTTTGTGGCACACATCTCGAAACATTTGTTTCTGCCGGTCCGTCAGAATTTGTTTAACTGATTAAGAACAACGCTCTGAGGACGTATGGGGGAATTGATATGTAGATCCACGTTTTCTTGACCTCGGAACTAGTTGGAGGTGAGTGGTCAGCCTAACACTTCGTCCGCTTTACCCCCGGAGAAAGAACCTGTGGTACTCATTGGATTGGAGGCTGGGTGGGCCCCAGAAACAGTCTGAACGATGTTGAGAAGAGAAAAATCTTGACCTTACCGGGACTCGAACCCCGACCCCTTGGCCCTGTCCGTAGCCAGTCGCTATACCGACTGCACTATCCTGGCTATAAAATTTGTTTTTTTTATAAGTCATAATTTTTATGGGTACATTTTCGACTTCGAATGTTGACGATTGAGACGACCATTCAAGTAGCCAGTTATGTAAATTAGCATAATTAGTTGAAACGTTGTGCACGTATCAGGATTCTGGTAGTCTCGAGTTTGAACTTGGGCCAGAAGTACGATTAACTTGGTAGAATTGGCGTAATTTTGCCTGGTCCTTCTAGCCAGATGTTGAGATGACATTTATATAGGGTACGACAGCCACCAAGTCCTGTGATATTAATCATTGACGATCATCACTGCTGCATAACGTATGCCGTTAAGTATTTCATAAATTACTCAGGAATTAATCGGTCACTCCTTTGTGAGCATTGATATGTGTGGTGACAGTCTATGTAAGTGTATGTGTTTCCAGTCTTGTGGAAGTCTGTTCTGAGTCCAGTGACATTACGTTCCCAGAACGCACACTTTACAGAGGTACAAGAAATCGAATTTACGGCATACAGTAACATTGGAAATGTAGAGCAGAATTCTGTGTAGGTGTCTGTGGAGTATATGGAAAGGCAGTACTTGCAGGAGAGTCGAACTGAATTAAGACCCGAGCTCTCGGTTGCTTCTGAAGTTGAGTATTTTAGGAGGAATCACATGTAACGTATGTTTCAACAACTGCCTCCACATTGAATGAACCAGTACAGTATTTATTACTAGCCTCTGCCGCCAACGCTTACCCGCGTAACGCTCACGTCATTTGAGTTGCCTGACCACTTAGGAGCACACGGTTGTAAACCAACAAGAATGATCGTTCATTGTATGTGTTTCATGTACAGAGAGCTGTGGAGGGTTGGGGGGTATTATGTTTTTGTTCTCCATATTTTCAGCATATCAAATATTAACAGAAAGTATTGTGTTTCGTGTTATACAAAATCTCTTTTTATATTTTAGTAGTTTTGACTGTTTGGTTGTAGTTTTTTGTACTTGGGCGTCGATTTAAATATCATTACTCGAGCACATTGCTGTAAGTGTGTTTCTCAATGCGGTCACTTTTATTTTGTTTATTTTCTTCCTCTGCTTCGGGCTGTGAAGGATTTTATGGGGAAAGGTGCCGTATTGATTTTAGGACTCCAGAAACTACCACAATTGGTGTGACCTTTCTTGTGAACAAACAAGTGCTTCGTAGCTCATCAAAGATTAAATATCAACTGGTGAAGGTATTTGTAGTATGAGGGGTGAACATTGAATTTCTGATTACAAACGATTAATCGGTGTATTGAAGCCTTCCCAGTTTTCTGTGCTTCACCGTCGATGAACTGTATATTTTGCCCACAGATTGTGTTAATGTCTGCTA